AACTCTGCCCAAATATAACGCCTCGATAAAGTCTCTTCTTAATTATACACGAAAAGCGCTGCAGTCGCTATGTAAACAAATGAATAATTGAAGTGAGATTAAACCCAGACTCTTCGCCGATGGCATAAGAAATGCTGGACCCGCCCACAACAGCAAAACGGCCCGCGTACAAGAAGTACCGTTTGTCAAAGGCATCCGGCCAGAATACACAATGCACTTTTAATTCTTTGTCAATAGGTCAACCAAATGAAATCATTTGCGATTCAGCGCAGTGTCGTAAGTGTAATGACACTTCCAAAGTAGTCGACAGGATATGCCAAAGTGTTTACACAACGATCCCTATTTAGAGACCTACCTGCGTGCGGCGAATATGAAGATGTCTGTCTTCTGGCACATGCTGCCTCCATCGTCATGCTTTATGAAACGTCAGACTACACGGCGCAATATTCCAGAAGACAATCATCATCAAAGGAGTACCGACTGTTAACAGGAGTGTCCTCAGTTACACAAACGGGACCATTACCACACAGTGGCTTACTTCGTATTGGCTAAGTTGTCCACGACTGGGAATAATTTCACACAAATCACGAGGTCTAAAAGGAAATCTCTTGGTAGGATTTTGGGAAATTTTAAAAAGGGTACAGAGGATTGTGACCAAGAGGATTTTAAACAACTATAAAAGGTGAGCAAATCCTTCTGTCTTCCGCCAGGTGACTAACAGAATATCGCAAACCCCGCAAGGTATAATGCATAAAGCGATTCCAACAAAATTTCACACTGGTGAGCAATCATTCAGATTCAATGCATGAAGCGATCCGTTTGTACCACAAGCTTCATCATGAGTCGAAAATGCAGCAAATTATAGAATAAAGTAAGATTATATTTCGTGATGAGTGTGAATTACCAAAGTTTTTCACTATTACGAAAGTTGGCTACGTAACGAAAAATCAATAAAAGTTAAAAGCAATTATTTCGTATATTTTCCACAAAAACGAAAGTGTGAAAAACATTCTAACTAAACCGACTCTGTCGTGGAGACTTAACTACGAGTGAATCAACGAGGGTAGGCCTAATAACCCCGGAGTTTCAGCGTGCAACTACTGTGCGATGAAATAATTTAAAACAGAGGTTCTTAACCTTTTCCGGACCAAGGGCAGAATTCATACTCCCTTATCGAATCGCGGGCAAGCTTATAAATCACGAAAAAAAATTATGAAAAATATTAATCCTTTGAAGCCGAAGATCGTCTGAATATTATTTATGAATTCAGTCCGTACCGCGAAGAAAACACTACACCTCACCATTACGAAAATCAGCAGTTTAACCCTTTGAAGCCGAAGATCGTCTGAATATTATTTATGAATTCAGTCTGTACCGCGAAGAAAACACTACACCTCACCATTACGAAAATCAGCTGGTTAACCCTTTGAAGCCGAAGCTCGTCTTCATAATATTTACGAATCCAGACCGTACCGCGAAGAAAACACTTCAATTAACCATTAGAAGTCGAATCAGGCGGTACCACATAAGATTTAACATCCCGGTCAAAGCCTTAATAACTTCGTATTACAAGCAAGCTTACGTATTACTCAATAAACCACAATGCGGTCAGTCCGAAAGATCATATCACGGAAGACCACTGGATCATGACGGACATTTCACAGATGTCAATGTATTGCATAAGATTGAGGCTACAAGTTATGTAAGAGCCCTGGTTCGGCTACAACTGCGACTATCGTCCAAAAAATAACATCGACAAACAGAAATGACATTTACATTTTGAAGAGATTCTATCCCATCGTGTTTATGTCCATTTAGTTCCACTGTGTTTTGATAGGAGCGCTAACACCTATACATGCAGTGCCACCTACCGACAGTTTTATAAAGTGTTTTCACAGAAGGTAATCCTGAATTTCATTCGCGTTAATTTGACATTCTCTGCTCAATGTTGTACAGAATCATTATTTTTTTCTGAACGAAGCAGGTCGCCGCTGCTGACCGTCTATTCGTTTTACGTGGCCACTGAACAAGCGAAAAATCAACCGACGGTAATTTCTCACTTCTCCGTCTGACCTCAACACAGCGTACACTTAGTTGAAGTCGAAGACACGAGATGGCGTGGTACTGATTTTCAACGCAGCCGACAGCCGTGCATTGCAAAACCAATTCCAAGGTGAAGTGCGCTCCTTCAGATACTGATAGTCGCTCAGCTGGTCCCCACCACTAAGTTTTCTTAAGGTTCGGTTTAATATTATCGTCTGATCCCTTCAGGCGCTCCGAATAAATTTTGTACGAAATTTCCATCGACGTCCTGATTTCATCACGCCAATGTTTGAAGACGTGAACCAATTACGAAGTTCCCCGTTGTGTAATTCACTCTGGCCACTGTCACGTCATCCCTCTTACGTAAAGTAACTATCCATGCACTTAAATTTATTTACGTCAATTTTAATACATAAATAAGTCATCGTGAAAACAATCAGCAGTATTTTATGAAATCATTAATATGGTAATTTAACCCTAATTTAAAATAGCCCAACTATGTCACACGCATCCATACAATTTCACTATGGACAATGTGCCTCATTTAAGATACAACAGTAATTCAGTAGTAGTTTCACTGTGTTATGTTTCTGTACCAGCCTGATGATGTGTGTTTTGTAGTTGAAGTGACAGTGTTTTAGACGTTCATCATTGTAATAACAGCTATATTGGTGGCATTTCATGTCAATATTGTTGTATGTTTATTTTTATTTATTTAGTTTTCTGTCTGAGGACAGGTCCATATGACCAGGATCCTTCCATCCTTTTCTCGGACTGGGACCTGTTCATATACGTTCTTGGCGGATGATCCAGAAGTGGTTTGCCATTGCCTTCTTCTGTGTGTGTGAATGGAGTAATTGTTGGGATGCCACGGAGGAAAACTCCGTGTTGCCTAGACCACGGCCTTGCCCGACACAAGTTATAAATTCGGGCACCGCCGGGAATCGAACCCGGGATCCCAGAATTACAAGGCCAGCGTTCTAACCGCTATACCACCACAGAGGACTCTAATAAAGACGATTACCAACTCACTACGCTAATTATTAAACACTAGTGAGGATAGAACGTATACAGTAGGCTCATGGACCGAGTGCACGTTTCACTGCGCTAAAAGACGACCCAAACAAAACTTAACAAACACGACATTTTATTTAAGCACACAGCGGAGTTTTCGTTACATAATGCGCCCACAGGGGGGGGGTCATTGCCTCTGCAGACAGGGCGATGACCTCTCATGTCAAAGGCACAGACTTATACATAATGTAAACAAAACATGTTCGTATTCTGGACGTCGGACGTTCTGTCCCAAACCTGACGCGACCGAATAAACTATTAATTCTCTAATTCGTTTCTGATTCATAAACGTGCAGTTCTGCTACGTACGTCAGAAGAGTTCGTGTTAGCCTCGACTAATTGGCTAACAACGCCCGGGCTGGCTTCACGACGTATTTTAACCGACTGGTTCTGCTGTGGTCCAGTGCGTGGGGTATCGATGAACCATGACAAGACAAAGACTTTTAATTTTTCGATTTTTTTCAAAGTTTTAGCCGCGCTAACACAAACTGTCCACTCCTACTCCCATAAACTGAACGAAATACAACTCTTTACCAAATCACACCCAAACCCGTGAAGTGATTTCGGAGAAAAAACATGATGGAAGGACCGACAAGACACGACATCCCGATCTTGCGTTCACATAACGAAGTGAAAATAAAAGGTAAACGCATAACTATCCCAGAACTTAATTAAGAACGTGCCATGGAGTGGTAAGGGGGGTTATGGTATAGTTCCTTGCTGTGTTAACGTCGACAGTAAATTGTGGTTAAGCTGACATCTCTGACTGTCAGGAACTGAAGCCCGTAGCTTAGTCACTGCATCGCCCGAGCCAGTTCTGTGTTTGCAAACCGCAGACTGCGCCCCTTTGCAGGTGCAACATTCTCTTTTTTTTACGCAAATGCCACCAGACCATAAATACTTAACGACTTTCAGTCACACAGACGCCACTTCTACGCCTGGGCCCGAGAATGCAGGCAGAGTCGCTACATCCCATAACGCCACAACGTACGAAATTACTTATGAAACACGCTCCACAGCGAGGAATGTTGTAATTTTCGCTATTCCCCAAATATTATCAGGGAATATTAGAAAATTACAAGATGCGTACAGAATTGTAGTAGGAAACCCCGAAGGAAAGAGATCACTTCGTTCAAAGAGGCGCTGATGGAATGAAAATATCGGATTGCACGGCAAATTCTTAAAACAAACTCAGTTTTGTCAGGTCAGGACTCCATAAAGGGCGGAGAATTTCTGACAACCCGAAAGGTCCATCAACTTCCGTCTTGTCTCGGCCCAATTTCAATCACCAGTCACTGACACCTTCCACTTTACAGCTTTTGTTTGTTTGTTTGCTAGTTAGGCGAAGAACAGACACCACATGTGATTTGCATGTTAATAAATTAGGTAATAGAACGAGTTACTTGAAACCACGCATGCGCGCGAGGTGCATGTTCTCTGCCACCTCCAAAAGAACCAGAACAAGTTTGTTCATTCTTCAACACGAAGGGGTTGGGTCGGTCTACGTCATGAACACGTGTATCTTCGCTATTCTCAAATGTTTGCCCACAAAAGTGAGTTTTCTAAGATTAGAATTGCCATCTTCTTACGCAGCGAGAGTAAGATCCTCTACCCCCAACTTCGACGTGTTTCGACAACCATGAATATTGGATGAATCTTGAAGGCAGAAACGGTCTAAATCTCAAATGACTCGGGTGTCAGCTAATACAAACAAGTGATTCCGCGAGGCAGTGTTCTGTTCAGGAAACTGATAGTCGGTCAGCTGCCCAAGATATTCTACCACTAATGTAACGTGCAGGAAAACTGACATCTTCGACAAAGACTTGTATAATTCGCTAAAAAGGCAAAAAAAACGTGGGCCTTCGAACGCAATTAATACTCACCATTGAGATGAAGTAAAACTTCTCGAAGTCTAATTCTTGTTCCTTTATTGCCGGCAGGTTGGTAGCAAGTTCCGTGTGCCTCTTCAGAGTCTCGTCGCCTTTCCTGCACAGCCATGATAGCACCTTAAAAAGAAACACGAATCTCAGAAATATCCTCAAAGAGTCACAGAGTCTAATTATTTTTTGTTTACTCCTAGGGTCTCGATGCCAAATTCGTAAAGATCACTTTATTCCTTCTATATACCACACAGGATAAGTCAATTGAAGAGTCAATTGAATAAAAATTTACTTGGATATTATCCATCGTCTAGTAATAAAACGTAAAAAACGTAAAACGACGTTTCGGAGATGGGACTCTATCTCCGTCTTCAGGTTCCTACTCAGTTGGGCCCACTAGATAGAGCTAATCCCTATCTCCGGACCACGTTTTTTACGTTTTATTACTAGACGATGGATAATATCCAAGTAAATTTTTATCCAATTAATTGTAGGCTACATAATTAGTTTGCATTTAGTGTTGTCCTTGCGTTAAACACTAAATAATCTGAAGAAAACGCAATCCTCGTATGTTCTTCCTCAGTCATTCTAGGCTTTCGACTACTACAACACAGTTTTACATTTATATAAATTATCTGTGACTACTCTTTTCTGCATGAGCCGGGATAGCTCAGTCAGTATAGTGACTGGACGACCGGAGTTCGATCCCCGACGGGGACAGAGGACTTTTCCTCCAGCCTCTGGGTCCAGACCGGTTCTGGGGTAACGGGGTCCTTTCCCGGGGGTAAAGCCGGCCTGGGCGGACCCCTCACTCCCATCTAGTGCCGAGGTCAAGAACGAGTAGGAGCTATACCGCCTCTCCCCCCAAGCGCCTAGATGGCGCGTAGCGGGACGGCTTTTGCAGCTGTCACTTTATCCTTTAAGATGTAAGTTGGAGCAGCCGCTGACGACAGAGAACGAAAGTGGCACTGGGTGACACGACCTCCGTGCCTAGAACGTTCTACTGGGTCCAATAAAAATAGACGTAACTATTTTTCAAGGAAGCGAGGTCAGAAGGTCGACTGCTGTAAGAAACAATAAGGCGTTACTGCACTCAGATACTGAACCACGGTAAGAGAGAAAAAAACTGAAATGGCGTCGCAGAAAAGCAAACGTTCTAAATTTAAAAATTGTTAAATTAATTATTCGGTTTTGTCCGTCTAATCACAATTATATTTAAAATTTAAAATTTACAAATAAGATAATTAAATTATCATTTTATGGTCCACATCGAATAATCGATTTACATTTGGAACATGTAAAAATGTTCCAAATGTAAATCGATTATTCGATGTGGACCATAAAATGATAATTTAATTATCTTATTTGTAAATTTTAAATTTTAAATATAATTGGCGGGGGGGGGGGGGAAGGACGCGGAGGAAAACCCGCCCCAGTGCCACTTCGCCCTCGGAAAACTTCGAATTCACTGGCCTGGGAGCTGGCCAAATGCTCATCGGGCCAGGCCAGAAGGGAAGACTTTGTTTTAACAACAGCCATTTGTGTGAATGTTAATGAGCTTACAGGTCACCAAGTGACCACCCTTCCATCCCTCTTCGACCATACGAAGCAAAATTAGGCCGGATACTTTTTTGGAAAATACGACTTTCCGACTGAACACTCGACAGAACACGTGTTCTAGTCCGATCAATGCCACGTGTATGGTGCTACCGCCTGGTGGGACAGGACACCAACTTGAAGCTTAAGGCAAGACCAAGAAATCTTAACCACCTGGTCAGATACTTCGTCGATCGACCAGCGCCAACTCACCCCTAAAACCCCTAGTTCATAGAACCAGTGTTCATTAGCGTGTTAACTAGACCCAGTGACTGTAAAATGGGAGATCTGAGGTTCTCACGGCGGTGAAGAAGTCGTTCTTGGTTTTCTTCGAATCGTTGGTTATCTACCTGCAACTCTGCATGGCGTTAGTGCCCAGGACAACAACGATATTAATGAGCCAATTGAATCCCTTTACCTCATGCTCTCCTCCCATCACGCAAACATATCCTATGACGTCACGTGGCCTCTAACTCTTATCAAAAAATTACAAGTGCTGTCACTAAATGTTAAGGTCATGCCTATTCAATCACCCAGCTGTTTTCTCAAAGTCTTAGCCGGATAAAGATAAAACTTGGTTGTTGTAAACAACTTGGCATTCACGATTTTTTTCCGGAATTTCAATGACAAATATTAATTACAAATGCATCCAAAATCAAAAGACCTTCCACACCCATTAATCGAAACATTCTACGCGACTTTCTAGTCAAACTGCCTGATTCGCCGGGCTTCGAGTTTAAATGTCAACATGGAAAAGGAGGGAACTTCACATCTTGATACGACGTAAATAATCACGTTGTAGAAATACGTGATCGAGGAGGACATAATAAACAGTTACTTCAAAATAAATACACAACACAACGGCGTGGGATATAATGGTTGTTAGATCGAAAATGTGTCCAGGCGGATTAGACTAATGGAAGCCTCCAAACCGGATCCTGCTAGAAGCTTTAATAAAACGAATTCACGTCCTTGATAACAGAGTACGCGACAGTGGAAGGACATTCTCCACAGGCCTCAAATCCCAGCGTAACCTTGGCATCTGAACCATCGTTCAACACGCATATTTTACCAAACGATCTGTCTGTATCCCAAAATAACCGTACAGCAGTCAGAGGACCGAATGTCATCGTAGAGTGGTTGCTTCGTACTCGGGAGATCCCGGTTTCAACTCTCGGCCCAGAGCCCGGCTATCCTGACTGGGATTTTCGTGGTATTCTTCAGTCCCTGCAGGTAAATGCCAGGATAGTACCTTAAATTAGGCCAGGACCGCTTCCTTCCACATCCTTTCAATTAATTATTCATTAACATCCTCTCATTCGAAGCTACATAAATGAATAAGTAGTCACTGGAAAATACTGCGCATTCAAATCTCCGCAGAGGGTCCAATGACAATCAGGCTCTTGTGAACGCGACAATAGACCTTCCGGGTCTCTAGTCCTTGGAGTTAATGTCACTTGTTCAGATTTCAAGTAATAAAATGAACGTATACCAGTGTTATTTGCATTGATACATTCAAACCTACAAACCTGTTCCTCACAGAATATTACAGACTGAACTAGCTTTCTATAGTCTAACGCTCTAAAAAGAATGTACGTTTAGGGCACAATATTAGACGATGGACACGTCCAGAAACCCAGTAACACTAATTTTACCTTTTGTTTTTATGTGGATTTGGAACTCGGTTCTTCTTACAACATTTAATTAATCTTAAGCAAACATTTATCGATGTACCCAACGAGTAGAAGGGATAAAATGATCAGATTGTGTTTTAAGCAAATAGCATATGTGTGTGGAACCCCGAATTATTTTCTCGGTCCCTTGTGGACAGACCTTGGGGCTCTATGAAAAATCAAGGGATTCCTTCACCACCTTCCTCTGAGGGACACTGGTCCAAGTAATTACTTTAAAACGAACGCCCACAAGTTTTTCATCCTGGTTTGAAGGCTCTCCGCGCGATAAATCAGAAAAATCTCCGTTTCAGGAGAAACGTTAACAACCGATCTGTTCCAACAGGCCACTGAAATCCTGGGACTTACACGTGATATCTTACTGTTTCTTCCAGTCAACTGGAAAGTTCTGCTAATAAAACCTAAAATCAGTTTTATGAGTGAAATATCACACATTTACTGAGATTCATTTTTCTGTTCAAACACGGAAATATATCAAACTAACGACAGCGATACGTAATCGAAACCTGTGCATTTTCAATTGTGTGTTGCAGCCACGAACATTCGGAATAGTTACGACCCCACTTCAGGAACTGATCTTGGAAGGTCCTGCGATCGGAGCCAGTTCCAGTTTGTAAAGCAAAGCACAGGTAGTAGGCACATTAGTAACCGATAAGAAGTAACCAGTGGTTTTCTGCTCGTGATGTTTGAAAAAAAAAATCGTTCCAATTACGTGGACGTGCACAGTGCAATAACTAGCGTGGACAAACATCATGTTCCCTCTCTGAAATTAATTTCCTTTATTTTTCGGGCTAAAAGCAGACGCGCCAGGCGCCCCATTTGCTGCCAAAGTCTGAAAATACATTCTTGGCCAACACTACTGGGGAAGCAATGAATTATGTGTCCAATATGTCGGCGTAAGAGAGTAATTTCTAAAAGTTCACGAAGTCTCGCCCGCAGTACATCCCAGCCTTAAATTCCCGGAAGTAACAGGACTTGTTTCCTGGATAGATAAATACCAGCACATGTACACACACTGGGCGAGGCTTCGTGATCCGAGAGCTCTTTGAGGGAGATCCCCGACGGCGTGTTTATGAACGCATGGCGTTTTTGACAAGTCGTCTCTATACTGTTCTCGAACATCCCGTCCGTCCGTCCGTCCGTCTCGCGTTTCACACGCACGACAAGTTGAGTTTTGAATCGCCTGGGGTGTTACGGTGTCTGATGCAGAGACGCATTTCATTGGCCAACAGAAAAATATACGTCTCTTAACTATTTCATGAGAAGCTGACAGGCACACACTTGGTAAATACATTGCCTGAACTACCAGTCGAGTTTACACTACAGTGGTCACATTCAGATTGACAAAACTTTAAAATGTGACGTTTAAAATTGTATAACACGACGTAAATTTGATTTAACGGCAATATAATAAGACAGTACTCGCTGTTTTTATACGAGCGTATTACTACAGAGAAATTCAGCGAGACATAAGACGAACACTCATCGTTAAGAAATGCATTCGTGATTGTGCCGGCAGCTGTTTCTTGCCATCCGCATTTACAGAATTTCCGTGATGCACTACTTTCTGTCTGGGAACTCGTTTCGAAGTCCTTGCTCAAGGATACGACCAATTCATTTAACGGTAGGTAATTGTCATGCCGATGACTTGAAATACTCCCGACATTCCTTCCTAATACTTACCATTCAACACTTGAGAACGCGAACCAAGTTCTGCAGACTGACCGCCAATCCCACGACATAGCTTCAGAATTTGTCAGCCTGTGGACAGACCGAGTAGTCATGACGTCAAGAAAAGTTCCCATGCTACCTTCCACTTACGCGTCGTGACCTAGTAGC